TGCTAGAAGCAGCAACTAACTTGTTAATAATTTTTTTGCTCTTCTCCGGAATAAAGATAAGAAGAATGAATATCTTACACTAGCTTAATATAATTGTTAATCAATGTCCTTACGACCAGTTATTCGAGGACAATCCCAGTGCCTTTACTCGTTTCGAAGGTGACCAGGAAAACTAACGTACAAAAAAAGCAAATTAAAGTGGCGACGCATAAAACAAACAAATCGAAAATAGATAAATGCGTGTCTTCGTCCATCATAAATACAAATGGATTTCGATGTACAAGCCTACAATATATCACTCGCACATCAAGCCTCATTCACATGCCCAGCACAACGAGCGCCTTATCACCAGGAAGGTGGTAGACGACAGACACGAGGGGCCTCCACAATGAGGGTGCAATGTCCTGTCACTGGGGAATTTACACGAAAATTAATGTGTTTCTTGAATGGCGATATATTTTTTTGCCATGATAAAATGATAAAAAAAAACTATTTTACACAAGCTTACAGACGGCTGAGAGAGAAGCGTTCAGTGTTTTACGCGCGCACGTTTTTTTCTGCTAAAGCGTGTTTAAAGGGTGAAATATAAATGATACGAAAATCAACTGCATGAACTATTAAAGGGCTTCCGTATCTGTATAATCTCTTACTAACAGACTAAAAATTAACAACCGCATTCATGTTGACAATTGTAGAAAAGGTATAAATGAGAATGAATATCTTCACCGTACAAGAGATGTATTTGACCGGTTTCGATTATGCCTTCGTCAGAAATAACTGTATTTCTGACGAAGATATAATCGAAATACATCTATTGTATTATGAAGATATTTATTCTCATTCATACCTTTTCTACAAAAGTTATCAAATCCTTCGTGCTATACATGTAGCAACATCAATAGCTTTAAGACTATAATACACACAGTTTAGGACGGCACATCAGAGGAACACCTTGACCTATCAAAATGGAGGCTCGACGGATGTTGACCACCTACACGGAGAAGCACAGACACGTTATGCAGACGCGATACCTTGCAGGCCTTCATTTACGCTCGGAACACCACGGGGCTCGGAAGGCTTCACTCTCACTCCGCCTCTAACATTTTCCTCCTTCAAATGCATGCGATCTGAACGTTGTTCGAGAGACGAGAGTGCGTTTGTTCGACTTGCTACTTCTTAGATCATTTACAAGAGCTTGGACGCTATTAGATTTTTTTTTAAGTGAGGTAGCGAGGAGTGCAAAGGGTGATGAAACAATATATGTGCCGGAAATAACTCGCCACTAGGTTTTTTTTCTCATTCTTGACTAGATCTATTACAAACCACCTTATCGAAGTTTATCCTCCTATTTTTTTCGAATTAATGATAAACTATGCTAATCATGAAAATCAATAAAAAAACAAAGTAAAATTTTCCTACCTTAAGAAAGCCTGTTGTGTCTCATCATCCAATGTATCCTCCTGCATCCCCATCCTGGAAGAAAATAAAAGCTCTCAGAGAGCACAAGCCTCTTCCAAGCCCAGTGTTCCTTATTTCGCGAGAGAGAGAGAGAGAGAGAGAGAGAGAGAGAGAGAGAGAGAGAGAGAGAGAGAGAGATAGATAGATAGATAGATAGATAGATAGATAGACAGAGAGAGAGAGAGAGAGAAAGAGAGAGAGGAGAGAGAGAGAGAGAGAGAGATAGATAGATAGATAGATAGATAGATAGATAGATAGATAGATAGATAGATAGATAGATAGATAGATAGATAGATAGATAGATAGATAGATAGATAGATAGATAGATAGATAGATAGATAGATAGATAGATAGATAGATAGATAGATAGATAGATAGATAGATAGATAGATAGATAGATAGATAGATAGATAGATAGATAGATAGATAGATAGATAGATAGATAGATAGATAGATAGATAGATAGATAGATAGATAGATAGATAGATAGATAGATAGATAGATAGATAGATAGATAGATAGATAGATAGATAGATAGATAGATAGATAGATAGATAGATAGATAGATAGATAGATAGATAGATAGATAGATAGATAGATAGATAGATAGATAGATAGATAGATAGATAGATAGATAGATAGATAGATAGATAGATAGATAGATAGATAGATAGATAGATAGATAGATAGATAGATAGATAGATAGATAGATAGATAGATAGATAGATAGATAGATAGATAGATAGATAGATAGATAGATAGATAGATAGATAGATAGATAGATAGATAGATAGATAGATAGATAGATAGATAGATAGATAGATAGATAGATAGATAGATAGATAGATAGATAGATAGATAGATAGATAGATAGATAGATAGATAGATAGATAGATAGATAGATAGATAGATAGATAGATAGATAGATAGATAGATAGATAGATAGATAGATAGATAGATAGATAGATAGATAGATAGATAGATAGATAGATAGATAGATAGATAGATAGATAGATAGATAGATAGATAGATAGATAGATAG